TTTGTGTGTGTGTGTGTGTGTGTGTGTGTGTGTGTGTGTGCGTGCGCTTGTGGGGAGGATTGGTTACCAAACCACTTGTTTACCTAAGCCTCAGTTAAACTTCAGTGGAACTGTATACGTGTTGTACAATATAATTATACGTTCAAATGAAGACAGCTTAGACGAATAATTGTACTTTAAGTGTTGGCATCTACGCAGCGCTAAATACAGGTTGGAAACACTTTCTATGAAACCCATGTCTATAATGCATCAGAGACATACCCACAATGTTTTATAATCTGGGTTTAGAACTGTTTAATACTAGTTTTGAGAACTAATATATGCTTTATGACCACAATTTAAACGACTCATAAAGTCAAGTATCATTATACTCCACAATTTCTGGCCACACGGATATGTTTTTGCAAGCAACATAGTGAATTATACAAAAATAAATACAATATAATCCCTTTATAATGTATTTTAATAATTACAATGATGCATTGAAGTGTGTTTATAAGTCACTTTTTAAGTGATCATAAAATAATTTCACTTGTGTGTGTTCTGCACACTGCAGAAAAAGTGCTGCAAAATATCATAAAACATCCCCGTCACCTCACTTAACCTTTATAGAGTCAATATGAATATTTATGATTATAATGTGTTTATCACCAGTGTTTTTAACTGTAATTATATAGTTCTATAAATGGAACAAAATGCATTGTGAACATGGGCGTAACAGAAAGTGTTAACTAAAATCCTAGTGAGGTCAAACCAATAGACATTGTATAACGAGAGCGGAAGCAGTCACGTGTATTTCCTTATACCGCAGTGATACAGGTGACGACAGTCTAACTGGTTCAACACGTGTCAGCTGACCAGTGTCCAAGACCCCGCTGTGACCTGGACTGAGCGCCGGTCAGATGGTGAACAGGTGTGTGTACTTGGAATAGAAGGAGATGTGAAAGTGAAAGCCTTCTTTATGTGTTGCTTTGAACTTTATTGCTTTTTTGTTAGCAGAGCATCTTCTACATTGACACATGTGACAACAGGAGGGTACCCTGTGACATCTTTCTCATATGAATGGGTTATACTACATAATGGAACTAGATTGTTATTGAGCAGTTTAGAAGAGGGACTTTTCTCTTTGTAACAAACTTCACCCACAAACTCACAACAAAACAATTGATAGAATTGGTTGATTGTAAGTTTTTTGCCCTGGTCATGCCTGGATAAAGAAATGCTCATAAAGTAATGTCACATTGAGCCGGCCTCAGATGGAATGTTTCTGGTGTGTTGTGTGCTACCTTCTCTCCTTCAGGACAGTAGCCTTTCACAAAGTCCTCACACACTTCGGCTTTTCGGGACACGTAGACGTGGCTGTAGGGACAGTCGCTGTTGTTACAGATTCCCTTCAGGAAGTAGGAACACACCGGCATCTGGAGAGTCAAACACATTTATGTAAGAAATCTAAGGCTGTAAAATGTTTCATATTACTTGACCAAGAGAGTGTTAAAAGAGGTATTATATCAACAATTACAAACATTCTACTATATGAATCTTTAAATAATAACAAAGACCAACACAGAGAAGAACATGGGGGAATATGAGTAGATTCTTCTTTAGATATGTCAAAATAAAATGACTGATCTGTTATATGGAGGGGCTGAAGTGTCTTCTAGATTATTGGCAAAATTTTGAATAAATTAAAATGTGGATCAGACAGAATCAAGTACTATTGATCCTGAACATTCTTCCTCAAAAACATCAGACATTACATTCAGAGTAAGAACGTTTCCTGGTAAAAAAGTCTGACACCCAAAGTTGGTCCAATAAAGAAAAAGGTTAAAATGGTTTTGTATCATAGAGAAGCTTACACAAATAAATCAGTAAAAAACAATGTTGCTATTTTTTTCTTCTTTTTAATCTTCAATTTTCCATTTGACTTTTATCCTCCATGATCGTCTCCCTGTTAATTTGTCCAATTAGAAAGTAGCCGATGTAAATACAAATAACCCACAGAGAGCTGTTGGAGTGTTACATGTGACATGAGATTATACGAGTTTGTTAACAGACATGCTGTTCTAACAAACCCCGTCATGTAGAGTTCAGACATGTCCCGTGTGCCAAGCAATATGTCACGCTGAGCAGTTAAATGACCTTAATTGCAGTTGACAGCAGCAGAGTCAGAGTGAATGTGTGTCTTGACAGCATGTGTGCAGTGTGTGTGTGTGTGTGTGTGTGTGTGTGTGTGTGTGTGTGTGTGTGGGCAGAGAGATCTACTTGTTGGTGTGCAAGGGCGAGCCTAGTGGATGCCGGTCTAAATATACCTCTGAGGGGGATTCGGTGAATAAGGAAGGGGGGGTTGGGGACTTAGGGAGGTGGAGTGTGAGAGGGACTCCAACTTGGTGGGACGGGATCAGTTCGACCTAATTAACTGCAACAGAAATATGTATCCAGGCTGCATCTCGTCCAGCTCTCATGATGTGTTTATGTGCTCTCGATGTGTGCACAGACTGGGCAAGTGGTCCCAGAGAGCGGAGGAGTGGGGGGGTCGGGGCTAATGCCAGGGGAGTATGCTCAAGAGGGTCTGGTTTCGTGGTATTTCTGGTAGTGGGGG